TGGCTCTGTCAGTGCCTTTCAGGATTTTCAATACTTGGTGAGGTCCTTTCGTAGTCTTCTCTTTTAGCCTGTCAGTACAGAAGATTCCTTTAAGCCCTGAGGATGTATCTGGTATTAGGTAACGGGCTTCCTCTGAACTGATACCAGACAGGCAATATCTTTTTTTGTTATGAGGAAGCCAAAATTATACTAGTTCCTTGAACAATTTCAACACAAAATCTCTTGAATTAAGTTCAAAGCTTTGAACTACACAGAAAAACACTATGTTTGCCTCTTTCTTCTCCACATTGCGAAGATTGATATACTGGGAAGAACAGGATCCCCAGCACAGATCCCTGTGGTACTCCGCTAATTACATCACACAGTTTGAGCATTCATCCCTTATCAGTACTATTTTCTATTCTTTAACTAATTCGCATTGCAATCATCCCAAATACCTACAGCATGTATGTAATCTGAGAATAAAAGTTTTATGGGGACCTGTATCAAAAGCCTATGGAAAATCTACACCATGTCATATACTTTGTAGGCATCTATTATTGTTACATACAAGTAACAGGTTCCACGGACCATGAGGCAGGTAGGGGTCTACTTAAGCAAATGAACAGGTAAAGGTTTATTCCATGCTGAAAGGAAAAGAAAAGAGACGCAACATTTCAGCTGTGGAGCCTTCTTCAGCTGAAACACTGTCTCTTGTGCGTTGTCTTTTTTACACATGCTGACGCAGGTACCTACTTCTACTTGAGCAAATCTTCTAGCAGTCCTTCGTCCTGAGCAATCATCCTTACTGATCACACAGGTTTGGGATATGTAAGAAAATGGTTCTCCTACTTGATTCGAGCTTCTCCTTAGAATGCTTTGCTTAGCTCATTCTACTTCGAATTGGCATGTTGACATGGAGATTACGAGGCTTTGAGCTTCAGCTCCGACGCTGCCGTCTTCAACCATGTCTCGGCGTGGTGTCAAGGAGACATCAGTCCTGTCCTGAAGGAGACCCCCCAGCTTTCACAACACATTTTTTAACTTTGACCAAGGATACTACAGGCCAGAGAATATCCCACTCTGTGCTGGTGCGCGCTCGGTCACGACCTCCTCCTCTCCCGCTGTAGTTCCTGGAAGAGGACACCGTCTCTCTCATGGATTCTCGAGTGGCCTCATTTGGATCCTCTGCTGTCAGCTGACCTCAAGTCCTTGCCTCTGGAGATAACGAGCCTTCTCATTGGCTATACGCCCTCATCGCTGGCACTTCTTGACTCTATGAATTGACTACAGTACTCTGCTCTCCTCCCCACTGAGAGCTGATGTGTGGTGGGCGTTCTGGCGCACTATGGCTGCCGTCGCATCATCCAGGTGGGGGCTGCACATTGGTGGTGGTGGAGGGGAGTCCCCATTACCTGTAAAGCGCTTTGAGTGGAGTGTCCAGAAAAGCGCTATATAAGTGTAAGCAATTATTATTATTATTACTTCTTCCATTGTGAATTCTGAGCGCCCCAGCGCTGTTTACAGTTTTCCTACCCCACAGTCACAGCCGTTTTCACTACAGTCTTGGCCTTCCAAGGCTTCCGAAAAGCCGGTCCAGCCTGATGCCTTCTTGTCTAGTCCTGTTGTTTGGATCCGAAGGACAAGAACATTTGCTCTTTCTGTATCCAGTCTGGGAGCTGGACACCTGCATGTGTTTCATCAGGGACTGCACGCCCTCAGACCGACAGTCTGTGCGGTGAGCTGGTTCGCCCCTAAGCAAGCTGATAACTGGGCAAGCTGGCAGTCAGCTGGCCTCTTGTTCATGACAGTCTGGGCGATGTTGCCTCCCCAAAATGTGATGACCTGACAGGCCATTCTTATCATAAAGTTAGTTCCCCGAATAGAAATGTAGACATTCTCCTTCCAGGTTGCTCTCATACGGTTCGGAAAGGATACAGTAAAAAGAAGGGTGACGAGTCGCCCCATCGGCCTGGTCTCATAGAGAAAAAGGGAGGAGCTGGACAACTTCACCACAGTCGCTCAGATTTATGAAGCAACATGCTTGGAGGGTTTTTCCCTACTTTCGTTTTCAGGTATCCAGGGTTATGATAAATAACGTAATGTTCTGTTTATAGCACAGTACAAGTAAGAGAAGAATTTAATAAGCAGAGATTTTAAACTCATTTTGTGTTCAAATAATTACTAATCTTTGAGAGTACTGCTAGGCATTGAGGTACTGCCCCTGCTGGCTTACTCAGCAAAGATGGAGGATGAAAGTCTGTATCATTCTGTTAGCTTTAAAGAAATGCTTGCAACTCCAGTTCTTACTCCAGTTGCTTCGTAGAACTCCAGTTCTATGTCAGGTTTCTCAATGACCTTATTTGGGCTTAACCAAGCTCTTAGACTTGGGGCTTATTTATAGACCAGTTGCATACATTTTTTATTAATAAACCTGTGGTCAAAAACTCATGGTTGTACTTTTTTTCCATCTCAGCAAAGGTTTACTTTTGTGTTTCAAAATGTTCCAGGGCCTGCTCGCTGTTCACTGTTAAGACAAACAGTGAGGAATAAACAGTAGTTCTCACACGCCACACACACACTCGTAGTATGCAAGGTAAAGGAGACTAAAGTTTCAGTTTCACTGGTTCAGATGTACAGTATACTGAGAGGCATTGAAAAACAGTGATGAGACCCACTTGGACTTACACCACTTCTTGTGTTTTTAACGGAGCTCTAATGAAGGTTTGGGAGGGATGAAAGCAGCCAAACTCATCAAGCTCAGCTGCAGTAATTTCTCAAATTGTACCACACATCACCCCCTCCTCTTCCTCACTCGGTTTTTGCTTCCTTCCTCCACCCCTTCTCCACCTTTGGTGCTTCCCCTTGGCCAGCTTGTCACCAAGCATGAGGGGCCAGTAAAATAAAGGAGGTTACTGTCACACAATCTTCAACTGCTGTCATTCCTCGTGGGATACCTATAAATCGGCATATTTCTATTCCAGAAAGCAACGTCTGTAGAACGAATTAATAAATACTCCATGTTGCAGCACATTTGAGGAGAATAGTTATACAGTAAACCTGTGGCATTCATGAGAGTTAGGTACCATTAAGTCTCCTCAGAAGGCAGTTTTGCAAACGCCGGACTTCATACCTTATGGGGAAAACAGGATATGGTTCCATGGCTTGGGAAAAAAGGAATTTTGGTAGTAACTCATTTTAGAAATAGTGTTAATGAATACTGATAACTCTGATAAACTAAACATTGTTTTCCCCCTATATTTCAAGTTATTGCACATGCAAACAACCAAAAAAAGACATTACTGTTAGGATATTATAGCCTAGCCTGTTCGGTTTTTTTTTCAGTCCCAGAAGAGTGTATTTTCTTTACTTTTTACATCTTGTTTTTTTAATATATAGCAGGTAGTGTACTGTAATAAAGTTTGTTACATGGCAGTAATAACAACCAGGAAAGCAAATTAAGTGTACAGCATTAAACATACCACAAAATTGGAGATGACACAGGCTGGATATAGAAGAGATTCTTAGCTACTTTAGTGTGGAGACAAGGGTTGTGGATGGAGAGGCAGCAGCAGCCTCACTCAACCAACTCATTGAGAGTGCGATAATCTAGAGGACCATGTAGGTTTTGTTTTCGTAATTTAACATTTCTTTCATTTTGCAGCATAATGCTCACACACTGTACAGCCATTGATCTCATAACAGGCCTAAACACAAGACACATCTACTGCTGTCCTGAATAAAAACTGAGTAAAGCACAACCCATGATGGGCTTCTACATAAATACAGTATGTTAACCAAGCTACGCCTTCACTACTGAGACTGATACAGGTCTGTTGAAGCAGACAGACTGCAATAGACTGCTCCAGCTACGGTGTTCAAGGGAAGGTTTCCGCAGGTCTTTCCTCCCGGCGGCTGTCAGGGTGTATAACGCTGCCCTAGGCTAGGACTGTTAGCCCTTCATTTGCTCCTCTATGGACAGCATGTTTACTCCATTGTACTTTGT